TCCGACACTAAAGCATCACACATTTAAATTTTTACATGCATCGGATCGTACCTAATTTGATCAAATCAGACAAAAACAGATCTACTCGAATCAAATCAAATTCAAAACCAATGAGATCAGATTAAATATTTCAAGAAAATCTAAACTTTTATATAGGTTGTGTCCTATTTTCCTGATATAATCTTTAAATGCATCAGATCGAATCTAATTAATGAGATCAAATCATACAAAAATCGATCTAATCGGATCAAATCAAATTCAAATCCAATAAGATCAAATCAAATCTTTAAAAAGATATATTTACTTGTGTACGTTGTGTCCTATTTTCCTGATGTAAACTGATCAAATGAAATTCAAATATAATAAGATCAGATTAATTCATTGCCTGCCCAGTCGCCAATTCATAGCCTTCGCCGTCAGTCCCATGCCATGGAAGGTACTGTTCATTCGAAGTTTTATCTCTCCGATTCTATTGAATCCAAACACTTTTGATGGCTAATCTTGCGATATGTTGAGCGGTTTGCGATACCCCTCCTTCTTTTAAAACTTGATTTCAATTTCATTTGAATTCCCTCATGATTTGAGGATTTTTGGGATTCGTATGTACTGGATTTGGACTGCGATTTCTGTCAATTTTTGCTTGCTTTTTTTATTAACTTTGTTGTTGCATTGGGTTTGAGAGGTTGTTTAAGGTGTTTTAACAACATTTATTTGAGAGATTGAAATTTATGGAATGGCCTACTATTCTTGACGATTATGAATTGTGTTCTTGCCTTCGTACTGGTGTTCTTGCTCTATGAACTCAGTTACTGCCTGAGTGAGGCCATGCTATTATTTTTGCCTCATTTTTGTATAATCTATGTGGGTGCCGTATGGACAGTGGCATGATTCCTATAGTCATTGCTGGTTGGGTTCCTTTTGTGTATCTTATGCTTGGACGTATTCCTAGTGTGGTTTTGGGCTGTGCCTTGATGTTGGAACTGCTACCTGGGTATAATGGCCTTTGAATTTTACAGCATTGGTTTATTTGTACTGGCCATGGATCTTTTGAACTATAAGTTGCAGCTGTGTTGGTCCTCACTTGCTGCACGAACATGGGTGCTTAAACTAGAGAATCT